TAAGCACAAAACACACGCACCTTAAGTATAAAAATCATGCACCTTAAGTACAAAAATCACGCACCTAAAGAAAGAAAACCACGCACTTTAAATTTGACCTAGATGCAAAAATTACCAAATTACCACCACATTTTTTTTAATTTTGTTAATCATGAACGTTGATTTAAAAAGATCAATGGCTCAGATTTAACCGCACAACTGCACGAGAGACACCCAACCGCACAAGAACTGAATTATATACATATAAATATATATATATATATATATATATATATATATATATATATATATATATATATATATATATATATATATATATATATATATATATATATATATATATATATATATATATATATAGTGAAAGGTTCCCGTGCGGTTCAATGCTTCCCGTGCGGATGTGCGGTGGATTAATATGCGTGAGATTTGTACTCAATGTGCGTGAGTGTTGTTCTTAATATGCCAGAGATTTGTACTTAATGTGCGTGAATGTGTAAAATGTAGCAAAAAATATTGATGTCAACTTCTTCCCCATCCCAGTAGCCATTTCCTCCTCCCTAATGATGATGATGCGGAGGCGAGCTATGGTGATTAAAAATTATGGGAATAATACAATAGAAATCCACACTTAGCTGCTGTGCAAATTTTACTATGCCTGCGTCATTTATATAAACATTCAACTGCACTGAAGGTAGCTGATAATCCAGAATCCATGGCCAAATTGAAGGAAGAAGTAACAAGAAGCTTGGACGTTAATGTGCGTGAGTTTCTGTTCTGCTTCCTTCTGAGCTCATAATTCTGAAATACGCACGCACATTAAGTACAAATCTCACGCACATTAAACACAATACTCAGGCACATTAAGTACAAAACTCACGCATATTAACATGACGCACATTAAGTACAAATCTCAGGCACATTGAGTACAAATCTCACGCACATTAAGTATAAACCTCACACACATTAATCCACCGCACATCCGCACAGGAAGCAACAAATGCACCCGATCCCTTCCATATATATATATATATATATATATATATATATATATATATATATATATATATATATATATATATATATATATATATATATATATATATATATATATGGCCTTCCAGCGTACATTGTTGAGCCTTCCAGAGCATATTGTTGTGCCTTCGAACTGCATATTATTTTACCTTAGATTACACATTGTTGTGCCTTCGAAGTGCATACTGTTTTGCCTTATAGTACACATTGTTGAGCCTTCTATAGCACATTGTTGAACCTTTTAGAGCACATTATTGTGCCTTCGAAGTGCATATTGTTTTGCCTTGGACTAAACATTATTGAGCCTTCCAGAGCACATTATTAAGCCTTCAAGAGGTGGCAAACTATTTTAAAAAAAACGTAAGTTAATCTTCAATCACTAATTAGTAATTTGAGTAATATTGTTTGCTCATTTATTATTCATGGTCGTTTATAATGTGTTGGAGATCCTATATTAAAATTTGTCTTTTCTATAATTGCTTCATATTTTTGTGCCTTTCAGTGCACATTTTTGTCTTCCAATGCATATTGTTGTGCCTTCTAGAGCACATTGTTATGCCTTTCGGAGTTCCGGTGCACATTGTTGTAGATCATAGGTGGTGAATTTTTTTTTTTGAAGAGCACTTGATCTAAGATTGAGATTTATCTGCATGTTTCATCTGCGGTCTTCAATTCTTCGCACCAGAACCACTCCATATATATATATATATATATATATATATATATATATATATATATATATATATATATATATATAGTACTTATCATTAAAAAAAATACTAGTATATAGAAGCAAATGTTTATCACATAATTAACCATTGCAAATACGTTCTTCATAGAACAGTTTAATTAGTTATTGTTGTTGTTCTTTGCTTATGTATGCTCAACCAAAACAACGCAAAGTTCATGAACTTAGACACATATATAACTCGCAAGAAAATCTTGAGTCAAGCTTTTTGGTAGTGTTTCTTCTAATGAATCACCCTCGTTGTCTAATCAATTGAATACATCATCTCCTTCATCCTCAACCGTTATGTTGTACAATATAATGCAAATATACATTAATTATTTCTTTCAAGTTTTCCTTGAGCAAAATGTGCCCAAGACCTTTATTCAACGAGCTTGAAGCATCTAAATTTCTGCTCGACATCTTTTTTTATCGCATCTTGTGTTTCTTTAAAAGTTTTTCTCTTAAGATTAGAGCAAGACACAAAAGCTCTTCACAGATGTTGATCATTTTAGATAGCTGTCCGTCTATTATGTAATACCATTTTCTATATTGTATGTCATTCACGGTAAAACAAACATTTGGTACATATTCTCACAAGAAGTCATTAAATAATTAAAGCTAATGAGTGCCAAAGCAATATTTCCAATCACAATGCATGTAATCAAGATTCCTCAATATTCCAAGGAAGCAATGCCTTTGCTCAAACATGTGAAGCACTTGTTCCACGTCATTTAGTAAGCAGTATTTGAGATAAGAGACTAAAGTAACTCCATAATGACAAATTGGAATTTATACATAACGTGGACAGATCCCGTATGCACACCGGCAACGCTAATTAACAAATAATTACAGTGCATTTTTAAAGCTTCTCATAAGTTTGTTTCATACCAAATTCATGGGTGTCCATTAACCATTCATGTCTGCACCATACTTGTCCACTTCATAGAAAAACTTGACTAAACGCGACATTCAATTAAAAATCAAAACTTTGAAAAGTCTTTAATATAATGTTGTAGGAATGGTTTGTGTGATTTTTCAAAATTGTTCTTTAATTATATTATTAGATTTGTATTGGACCATTAGTTTAGGAATTGAATGGGAATAAGGCATATTCCTCATCCCCACCCGATTCCCCGCTCTCGATCGTCTTTGTCCCTACTAGGAAAAAGATTTTTTTCTCAAATTTCGTCTTCGGTCAATTCCACAGTCAAATATATATAATTCTTTATTTTTTAAAAGATTATGCATTTGCAATCCTACCAAAATAAAATTTAAAAAATAGTTGACCAAATTTAAAAATTTTAATGTTAAAATACATAAATAGTCATCAAACTATAACTGTAAAGGTGTGTTTGGTTCAAAAATTGCAATCAGAGTGCTAATGGGAATCAAATACTTAATAATGGTAATGTGTTAAAGTAGAAATAGTCACTTTGTTTGAAAGTAAATAAGAATTAGAATCAAAATAAATAAATAATTAATTAATTAAAATAAAAATAAATAAAAAATATATATAATATGTAATACATATATATACGCATACATATGTGTAAATATATAATCTCCATTTTTCTCCTTTATTGTTTATTTCAATGTTCAAAAGTAGATGAATAAAAGGGTAATGAGTTTTGTAATTATTAAAGGATTTGAATTCAATAGTAAGATAACAAGAGTAGACAAACAAACATGATAATAGAGGTATCAAAACCTATAGTAGGGTGTAAAAGTCCTCAACTAAACACCACCTAACTACATGCGTTTTTATATGAATATTGTTATTGGTGACAATGAGAGGTCTCATTAGTCCCGTCCCTTTTGAGATAGGAAATTGAGTTTATGTCGGTTCAGAGTAAAATTGTCACCACACCTTGTTTATCATTGACGTGTACAAAAACTATTAAGTTTTATGATAATATCTTCCTCGATCGACATTTGTATCACCTACCAATTGAAAAGAGGTCCAAAATTGCTTCCTTTTCTAACATTTTCCACAATGGGAAATCTCAAAATTCCAAACAAATGGACCAGAAAAATACCCTTCAACAACTGGATGGCCTTCTATCTGTGCTATCCATACATACTCACCAAACAAAAACCAGTTGAACACATCACCTTTCACTCCCCATGTCAAGAGGGACCAATGCCACACCCATCAATTTTGTCCCAATTGATAGAATTGCCCACATGCCCTTTTCCTTCACCGTCCATCACAAGTGTCGTCTCCTTTGTCTCTCCTTCTCTCGGGACCGCCCCCTCTTCTTGCCTGAAAAGGAAGCAGCCCTGCTTCTACTTGCTACCTGTTGCCGCCCAGTTGATTGATGATGTTGGGCAGTGACCTGTGAAGGGTTAAGTTTAGTACCAGGTGGCTAGGGGATTGTTGGGTGAAGGTTTAAACGGCAGTGACTGATGAAGGGTCAAGTCCAGTAACAAGTGAGTAGATCTGAAGAACCAAGTTCAATACCAGGTGACTAGGAGATTGTTGGGCGAAGGGGTCTGAAGGGTAGTAGATCTGAAGAACCAAGTTCAATACCAGGTGACTAGGAGATTGTTGGGCGAAGGGGTCTGAAGGGTAGTGACTGATGAAGGGCTAAGTTCATTAACAGGTGCGTAGGTCTGAAGAGCCAAGTTCAATACCAGGTGACTAGGAGATTGTTGGGCGACAGTATGAAGGGCGGTGACTGATGAAGGGCCAAGTCCAGTAACAGGTGACTGATGAAGGGCCAAGTCCAGTAACAGGTGAGTAGGTCTGAAGAGCCAAGTTCAATACCAGGTGACTAGAGGATTGTTGGGCGACGGTCTGAAGGGCGGTGAGCCGGTAACTGATGAAGGGCCAAGTAACAGGTGAGCCAAGTTCAATACCAAGTGACTAGGGGATTGTTGGGCGAAGGTCCGAAGGGCAGTGACTGATGAAGGGCTAAGTCCAGTAACAGGTGAGTAAGTCAGAAGGGCCAAGTCTAGCACCTTATCTCTTGAAAATGTGGTAATATAAGGAAATAAAGTTACACTTTCACTACGAGTTAGAGCTTATATCCAAGTTATGAGTTCGAGTCTCAATGACCAAGTCCAGCACTTAGCGCGCTTGATCCTAACAGGTGACAAACGTCGTTGTTGACACTTTAGACGGTCACAATGTAACGAAAGACAATAGGTTGTCTCAAGATAGGCACGGCAAAACAGTGAAGACTCTCGAGTTTCGAGTGCAAACTCATGAAAACGCGTAGGAGGAGAGACAGAGATGAGTGCAACATAACTTAGTAAATTGACATTAATCAGGCAGGCTAGGAATTCCATATGCACCTTACTAGTTACAAGTTGCAGAATGCCAAATTTTTTGACTTGAAGGGAGATTTGACAAGGTGATCATTTTCTAGAGTACTATACAAAATAAGAATCCCTTCTTCACAGCAAAAATCTAAGAACTTGGGGTTAGCATCATGGGGTTTCATATTTTCATAATATCCTAAGAAGTAGGCTCTCTTCTATGCTGCACACCCCGCTATCATCATCACCGCGAGATTTCCTGTGTTTGAGGGTACCCGAGCTGCTCTGTCTCCCAGCTCAACTTCAATGCGGCACCTTCATGGCAAGGAACATAGTCCTGTGATCATCATAGAAAGTGTAGATTTAATAGACATATCCTAAGTTGTATCTATAGATTCAAATCATTGCAAAATAAACAATTTGGGTTGTCCCAGGAATAAGAAATTATTAATTACCTCCAATTTCTTGACCAGCTCCTTGGGGGTAGGTGCAGATATAATGATGTGACGAGCACTCGGGCTGATGAATCCCTCCTCCACAGCTTTGTCAATGAACGACAACAATGAATTATAGTATCCATCGACATTCAGCAGCCCCACCTGCAAGAATGCACATATTTTGCGGGTTTCAGTTTAAAGAAAACGCCCTTTTCAAAAGTCTCGTGATCAAAATTTCCCCAATTGTATCGTGACATACCGGTTTATCATGAATGCCGAGCTGAGCCCAAGTTATCACTTCTAGTAGCTCCTCTAGTGTTCCATAACCACCTGCATGTAAACGTAGGACAATCTCGTTCATTGATCCACAAATCTTTCGGTTTCGAAATTTTGAAATAATTTATAAATGGTTAGTCTAGTTTAAATGTAAAGTTTCCTCACCACCAATGAGTAAATGGGTGTGTAGAATTATTGGAGTCCTTGAAAGGAGCAAGCATGATAGCTTTAAGTACAGAAGCTGGGTTGCTACTACAAATTTGTGTAAGTTTTGCAGTGTCTCCTTTCTTTCACTTAAGGAAAGTTTTGTGCAGTTGAAACCAGAGGGCTATGGACCCAATAAAGGATAACTCTGATTCTCACTGCAAGATGGTGATAGGTCAACAACTAGGGTTTGAACTGTAGCTCTCTAATCATGGGTCTTGGGGGTTGTGAATACTTCTAAGAGATAAGAGGGTTGGTTTGTGATCATTAAAATTTATTAAAAAAAAAAAAAAAAAAAAAAGAAGCTTGACATAGTTTTTGTGTGCCGAGGAAAACCCGCCGCCACTATTTAAGGTTGTGCACTGAGTAAACTCTGCCTTGTAACCCTAGCCGGCAAAGGACCACAAGAAGTTAAACTAGTCTAGGCTGTTCAGAGTTGACCGGCTTAAACTAAGAAGACTAATAGGCTGTTCCCGTTGGGAGTTGAACTTGTAAAAAGCTTCTAATAGTAGCTTTCTTAGCAGTACACATTACTGTATTAGTACAAAGTGGAATAGTCAAAAAGCCAAAACTTCAATTTACTGTTACTTTTTTGGTAACATTGTAATTGATTGTATCAGTATTGTAGTTTATGATCATTAAAAAATACTCTCCTTTTCTCAGAACATCAAACCCCACAGTACTAAATAGTCCACAATTTCACCTCTAGGCAAACCCCAGAATGCCACCAAGAAGGTTGACAGAGGAAATTAAATTCCATTTTCGGGATTCCGACATCAATAAATTTGTTCGTAGACACGTATTCCCGAGGAAAATTTGACACCCAGAAAATGAAAAGCTGTCTCTAGTCTGTCTCAGCACACATTATTTTTCCCAGGAACAGAGTAGCAATATATGGCAAACGAGCTAACAAGAACAAATGGAAAATTGCCTAAAAATGTTAATGCCATGCCAAGATTATGGGATTGGTTTCCAGACCAAATACCAACCTGGTAAGGCAATAAAAGCATCTGAGTGCTTAGCCATCTCTGCTTTCCTTTGATGCATATCTGCAACAGCCTTCACTTCTCCCACAGTTTCACCAGTTAACTGTTGAAAGGATACCAAATCCCAGAAGGCAAAAAAGATGCTGAGTTAAAAAAACACACAAAAAAAAGACCCTTTTTGAGGTTTGGATGAGAAAGACAGCTTTTGGGAGGGGGGGGGGGGGGGGGTAGATGCATAGGGTTTATAGAGTTGTGCAGTAAAGCAATGATGAGGATTGCAGTGTGAATGAACCTAATCCAAAAACCCTTTAAGAAATAGCAGCTACAGAGCTAGAAGCCTATATACAATTTCTTGGAAAAATGCCATTTTTATGAACATATGATATACCCAGCAATCTGAACCATAGAAACAACCAAGATCCATAATCATGGCTGAACCACACAGGAAATGAAGGATGGCAAAGAAAAAGGAAACAAAACCAAACAAAACAGCCGCCAAAAGTCCTATGTATGTGGATAAGATAAGGCCATCAAGGAACAACAAGAAACAAAGCCTAGAAAATTTACAAGACAAGAAAATATATATAGCACCTCACACACAAAACAAACATGCATAGCATCATTACAATGAAAAACTGCTCCATATATATAAATACCATAATAGGAAGGTAAAATGTACAAAGCAGACATACCTCTCGAGGCATGAGAGTCTTGGGAATGACTCTGCAGACAAACAATAACATGACAAAAATTGGTTTCAGTATACTATTAGAGTATAGGAATTAGGAAAACCCCATAAACAAGAAACTTGTGTTTTATATCTCCAGTTTGAGAGTTTTGAGGAAAGAAAGAACAAAAAAGATTGGAATAGAAGGAAACTCATTGCTCACCCAAGAACATGCCTGCCACCATCATGAACAGCTTGAGAAACCAGACCCATGAGGCCTATGCTTCCTCCTCCATACACCAAATCAATGTTCCTTGAAACCTTCAAAAATCAGTGTAAAGGGGTATTAAGGCTACTGATAATTGATAAACTAACTTGTTCAAGATTGACCCATTTTATTAATATTATTACACAGTCCTTCTTTATGCTTGAAAAGCACACTTACATTATTTTAAAAACAGTAAAGGTGAAAGGGGGAAAATGGGTTCTTTACTATGTACTTGTAAGTACCACATAGTTTAGAAGCTCTGATCTGTATGAGGAGCCAACAAGGCATAAATTCCAAGGATAATGCCTCAACTTTTTGGGGTTTTGAGAGACAGAGATGAGACACACAGAAGAACACAAACAGGAGGGAGGGGGGGCTGCATGCTTGAATAGTATTTGTCAAGCAAAAATTTATGGCAAAAAAGAAATGATCAACCCAAAATTCCATAAACAAGAACAAGGCAAGGAAGCAAGTTAGAAACAGAGACAAAGTTGCCACAGGTAAGAACCCCAGAGCATTTTGCAGTGATGCAGAACAAGACATTGCAAAAAAGACCCCATTTTTATGAGAATACATTCGACACGTTCCAGTCCAAGAGGGCAACGCCAAAACTACAAAGAAGTAAATGGGCAAGAGAGAGAGAAAAAATAAAAAAGGTTCCTTTTTTATTTTTGTTACAATATAAAGAGAGAAAAATACCAATTCTTTGCCAAGCTCAATAGCAGCATCCTGATAGCTACTCTTCTTTCCTTGGCTACTCCCACAAAACACACAAATCCTCTTGAATCTTGATGCCTCACTTCCCCTCTCCATATTCTTCCTCTCTGTATAAATCTCTTTGCAAATTACCAAAGAAAAAGGGGAATCTTTGAGCTTTCTGGGTGAGAGTTTGTATATTCTACAGAGGGTATGGGTATAGATAATCAATGAGAGTGAATAAAGAAAGAAATAGATATAGAAATTGGATATATGATATGATGAAGAAGACTTTGTTCCACCGAACAATATTGCGTAGACCTTTTTGAAGCTCCCCCAAACCCGAAGGCTTCGTTATATAATGGTCATGGCACGTGACCAACACTTAGCACGCTTGTGCTCATGCACTCACCACCCCTTGTGGACCACCTTATTGTTTACTACTATTTTCATATTATAATTATTTCTTTTTTACTTCACTAATGTTGTTTCTATAAAACTAAATTCTGCCCAACATTCTTTGTCTTTTTCCAACAAATGCTAATTAGAATAGATTAGATTTCAACACTTCTAAGTGAATTCCAGTTATATATATATAGAGTATGTATAGGGAAGATGGATAGATATATTATATTATTAAAATTGTTATGTTAAAATGGAATTTTTTGAACTAATTGAATGATGCGCTAAAAGTTACTTTTTAAAGATTTTTATCAAGTTAAGTGGTATGTATTGTGGGTAGAATTTATGAACCAAAATTGTTATTGCAAAATAATTTGTATGTTTTAAGAGCATCTACACCTGTGAATTTTTGACAATTTTTTCAAAAGTTAAAAATAAAGTTTGGTTTTTCAACTGACATAGATCATGACTTTTTCTCAATTCTTTCTCCTACAAGAGAGAATTTTTTGTGGAGGCCACAATTTGAGAAAGGAAAACAAAAGGCGCCTGGCAAGCGTGCGGGTGACAGCAGGCGCCCAGTCGGACACGTTACCTACTAGTTTTTTTTTCTTTTTCTTTCTCTGGTTTCCGTGTTAGATTATTTTTTTTTTCCTTTTTTCATTTTCTTCCTTTTTTGTTATCCATCTTCTCTATCCTATGTGAACCTAAAAAATCACAAAAAAAAAAAAAAAAAAAAAAACTCAACATTGATATGGATGCTCTAAGTTATGTAATTGATCATTCTTGTTAGAGGGAGGACAAGGTGTTTATGTTCAAAATTTTGGATGATTTCTTGTAAGATAGTTTTAAATCTATACTATACTCAAACTAATTCTCATTCACAGCGGTTCCGTTTAATTAAGGGACAAAGTGCTGGTCATATTGATTTTTTTATATTAGAGAAGATTTTAAACTTTCAACCATTTTTAAAGGATAGACGATAGTCATCCCTCTTATAGTAAATTCAACAATCTTATAGTAAATTCAACAAAAGATCATAAGGAGATGACATATTCAACTATCTAACCACTCAAATCATACTCCACCTTGACGCACCCATACCCTTATCCCATTTAAGTTAGAGGCCATTCAAAATTGAGCAGACCACCTCGTCGAGACCACATTCCCAAATATTCAAAGTGAAGCCAAACAACAAGTTTCCTATTCCATCACCCAAGTGGTAGTTGCATTTTAAATAGTTTTAAAGCAAGCAAATAATTTTTTGATATTTTGTTAAAACTTTTTATTTTTTAAAGAGGTGAATTCGGACTCTATAGAAAAGTCAAAGGTAATAATAAATGGTGGTAAACTAAATAAAGTTAATAGTTAGCAGTATTTAAATCAAGGAAGTATGCTGGGTTGGTCGAGTTCAGTCTCTACTCGATTCGAGATGTGACGTGACGTTGTGGCTTATCATAGACGATGGATGTGGTTAAATGATTAATGTCCACCTACTTATCACTAATTGATTTTAAGTACGATATGACAATCAAATAGTTAAAGAACTCTGTGGTTAAGCATGTTTGACTTACAACCGTTGGGTGAGATTCATCAAAGTATATATTATTTTAGAACAAACTATAAAAAAATAAATAAAAAATAAAAAAATTGGAGTTAGAACCAATAAAGTGAGACTAATGGATTTTTTTGGTGAAGAGGGAAACTTGTAGTCATTACGTGAGGTTACGTTATACATAGGTAAATCATGTCTTGTGATCTTAGCCGATAAAAGACTAGAGGTAAATCAGTCTAAGTTATCCAAGCTAACTGGTTCAAACAAAGTAACTCAATAGACCGCTTTTATTGGGAGTCAAACTTCACGAGTCAATAAGTCGCTTCCACTGGGAGTTGAATAATATGCCGCTTTTACTAGGAGTGGAACTTGACAAATGGAATACTTTTAAGTGGACAAGTTGATATATTTGAAGATACATCGTCAAAAAGAAAACTACAAAGGAAAGAGCTGACAAAATCCATAAAAAAGAAATGAACAAACAGGCTGGCAAGCTGCCATACATGATCCTAAAGAGTAGTATGAGAAACACTATGATGGTGGATTACTTAGTAACTTTTTGTTAATCTGGCCGGATTAATATGCCTTTTCACCCTGCAAAACATGAAAAGATAATCACCTTTACAACACAGGAGAAAAAGGTTAGCAATGGACAGTGCAGGCAGGCAGGCAGTCAAAAATAGGAACAATAATATTATTAAAGTAATTAAACATGCAAACATAACAACATGGGTATATAGTAATGCATGTATGTATGTGATTTGTAGTAAACAAGTGCATGCGTGACTGACTTCACAAATCACAATATACCACAATGATGCATTGCATTACACTACACAAATGTATGGGGAAAACAGTGCAGAGGGGGGGGGGGGGGGGGGGGGTATTAGGGCATAGAGCACTGTGCAGCTAACAGAGATGATTGAATACAATATATATGAAGATAGATGTGGGCATTGAGTTAAGGCATTGTACCCTAATCTTCCCTCACTTTGCTTTGCTCTTAGGAAACATTTCTTTCTTATATTCATATCATCCCATCCCCTTCCCCATATCACTACACTTACCATCTTGTCCCTCCATCAACCCCTATACATACTAATTTAATTAACAATTCACTGCTCTCACGTTTCTCGTTTTACGAGCTCAGCCTCCATTGTCTAAAGGCCGGCCTAGATAGTGCCATCTCTCAAGTGTGTTTACTCATAGGACAAATTGAAAACTAACATTATATTTACTTTAAAATTAATAATAATACAGATGCACAAATTGATTATTTCTTTGTTTTTTCCGATCCTTTCATCTTTAATTTCAAAAGATAGGGGGTGTATTCAATCATGACTTTCATAGAGTTTTAAAGACTTTTATGAATTTTAAAAGTTTGGAGGTATTCAATTCAATCAAGATTTTTAAAGAGTCTTTAAAAGTCGTGTGGTATTCAATTAAGACTTTTAAAGAGTCTTTAAAAGTCATGTTGTATTCAAAAAGTTATGAACTTTTGTAGACTTTTTAATTTTAAGACTTTTGTAGACTTTTCCTTCTCAAATATAAATAGTTGAAATCCAACCATCAACCCCAAGATTTCAAATTTTCTTTCTATCAACTTTGAATGTTTTCTCTCTCTATTAAAACTCTATTTTTTCTCCCTATTTAAACTCTATAAACCTATCTAAATTCAATAAAATCATTTTTTCTTCATTATCCTATATTTTCCTCATACCTAAACTCTACCAATTTTTCTCTCTCTCCTAAACTTTAGAATCTTCATCTAAAAATTCGAAATAATATTATTTTTACTTCATTATTGCTTGTTTATATTGATTTTTATTTTTTTTTCTATGAATTTTTTATCCCTAACTTTCTCTAATTCTTCCTAAATATATGAACAAAGCAAATTTTTTCATCGTCAAATTTTAGTATATGTTTCATAATATTCATATAAATATTTATATATTTTGATTTTTTTATTATTTTTATGTTTATATTCGTAATATATATTTTTTCTTTTTCTTTTTTTTTTTTAACAACAGGTTACTACGTATAGCGAATTACTATTCACAACAACAATTTGGAGTTACAAACAGTAGCACCTTGTTGTTGCTTACAGTCTCAAATTGCTATTGCAAATAATAGTTCTTTGCGTGATGCCTAGCAATATATCAAGGATAATTATATATATATTATTAATATTAGATTTTTATTTTTTTATTTTATGCAACTTGTAATTATATTTTTAAATATTTTATTTGATCAAGTCTTTTATTATAAATTTTATTGTTCAATATTGTTATGAATTTCTAATGAAATAGTTTTTTTTTTTTTGATGTTTATTAATAATATATAAATAATTAGCATATAAGTCTCAGCATACTATGAATAAAAATAATAATGTTGAGAATGTTGATGTGGGTGAAGAACAATATAATAAGAAGAATTTTATGATATATTATAAATGTTTTGTAAGAAAATTATAAATGATAAGAATCAAAATCATTGAAAGTTTGTAAGGATGTATCCAATTTAGAATTTCAATGACTTTTGTAGACTTTTTAAAATAAAAAGTTGATAAAAGTCTATGAATATTTTTTTATATAGACTTTTATAGAGTCTTATAAAGTTTTAAAAAGTTTTGAACGACTCTATGAAAGTCAATCAAAGTTTATTAAAATCTATCATTTTAAAAGTCTTTAAAACTTTACAAAAGTCATGATTGAATACACCCCCTTAAGAGTCTAATTTTTCAAGATATGACCTAGCTAAGATGAATTCATATTAATCTCATAACGCGGAAGATAGGAAAATACTACATGCATTCCCATTTTTTACTCCCAATTTGTACTCCCTCTCACAATTTCTTGATGTAGACACATCTCCTGGGACCTACATGATGAAAATAGTCAATCTTTGTTTGCCATGTCATGGAGTACAAGTGAGAGAGTAGAATTTGGGAGTACATGTAGTAAAAATCCGGAAGATATTAGATATCACATGCACCCTTAGGTAATGTCGCATCATAAGGATTGATTGGAGGGAAAAAATAAGAGGGGTATCTGTTGGGACTGGGGCTTGGAGGGTCGAGTTCAACATCCTGTCATTGAACCGTGGCATTGTGGCTTGCCATGAATGGATGCAGTTAAATAGTTAATGTTCACCTACTTATCACCAATTGGTTTTAAGAGGGATATGATAACTCAATAACCAAAGAACTTTGTAGTTAAACGTTTTTAACTTACAGGATAGGTGACCTACTAGGAAGTAAACATATATAGTGCAGTGCTTAAATCTAACAATTGGTATTAGAACCAAGGTCACAGGTTCTAATAAGTGTGCGTGACTTACAGGATGAGTGATCCATAGAAAGTAAGCATAGTGCATGCAGA